ATATTTCAAATTTTGGAAACTTTATAATGAATTTGTTTCATCATAAGTGGTTAATTTATTTTCAGACTATTAGTATGTACGCTCAGGTACCCCATGACCAAGGCGCCCTAAAATGAACCATTTTGAAAGAGACACGTACATTCTTCATAAAAAATATGTACTTATATCATTGCATAATATCCAGGAGCAAAGGAAACGATTTTGAAATAGTTCATGCATTTACACTTTAGAATCATTAGAGTCCCGTCCTATCCCCAGAAACCCTGACACAGGGGCCCTGAAATTAAAAATTCTGGAAGAGGCATCCTTTCCCATCATAACTATGTACATAGTTCATAGGTTTAATATCCAGAAGCAGGGGAGAAGATTTTTAAAGAATTTATGCATTTTCACTACATAATCAATAGAGCCCCGCCCTAACACCAGAACCCCTTACAAAGGGGCCATGAATTTCACAATTTTGGTAGAGGCAGCCTTATTCAACATAACTATGCACTTGGTTAGGTTGTTTAATGCCCGGGAGTAGGGAAGAGGATTTTCAAAGAATCTATGCATCTTCACCATATTATCTACTCAGCCCCGCCAACCCTTGGGTCATGAATTTCACAATTTGGGTAGAGGACTAAATTCTAATTACAATCATGTCAAGGAAAAAAGAATATTTTGCATTGATTTTAGTGGTTTTGACCCCCACCCTCAGCCTCCCCCCGGGGGGATGCAGGGACAATGAAAATCATAATTTTGTTTCCTATCACCCATAGATCCTTTATGCCAAAATTGGTTGAAATTGGTTGAGCGAGTGCAGAGAAGAAGCTGAAAATCTTCAAATGTTAACCACGACGCACAACGCATGACGACGGACGAAAAGAGATAGCACCAGATCACCAGAGTCTAATAAAGTGACCTAAAAAGAGTCTTTTCTAACTTCATTGAGGATGAACAGATGAATTTTGTGGCTCATGGGCCTTTTATAATTTTTAGATATGGTTGAAGACATTGACTTTTATTATTTAAGGTAAACAACAGGAACGCAAGCAACGCTGTCATCTTCCAGCTGAACTGGAGAACGATTTTTACGCAGATGTCATCGTTATTCACTCGAAAACAGACGAAGAGCTTGCACAAACATTTCTCTTTGACATACGAAAGCATTTCAAAAAGGGAGATGATTACATCATAGTGAGTTATCTCGACAAAAAGCTTCGCACAGAAAATACAGATGGCTGTGACTTTAAGCGTTGTACTGTTGCTTTTTTCATATTTACAGAAAATTCCTTGGAGGAATTTAGTAGTTTGACGAAAGACAAATATCTCGACAATTTATTATATGAGGGAAAATTTGTGCCAGTTTTTAGACAGCCAAAAGACAAGCTTAAACTTCCCATGCGTGCCCGTGTCCCTGTCTCTCTGAATTATTTTAAGCAGACGTCATTTCAGTTCCCGCGAGCAGTGTTGGATTTACTACAAAAACATTCAGGAACACGTCGTGCAAAAGAAGAACGCCACAAGGAGCAGGTTTCCAAGTACCTAGCAGATCATTCAACAGACCCTGTTACAAGTACTATTACACAACCAAACATATACATTGATGCTCGCAATGTAATTTTGGGGGACCACGGAACAATTGTGGACAACACTGAAGACGAAAACGGCAACCTGAAGAACTCCACCAGGACACGCACAAGGAAATCCAATGGAAGCCAACTGCAACAAGCTGACGATATTTCTCATCAATCCAGGAATGATACAAATTTTTCCACAGCTTATCCTTCCGAATATCATGGTGAACCAGGTAGTATACACCAAAATATAATGAGTATGCAAACACCATATGCTTCCATGAGTTATTCAAGAGATGAGCAAAATTTGTCAAAAACCTCAAATCGGTCACAATCTCAAAGTGTATCAATCACCAGTACGCCGAGTGAGGATTTTGCTCCTGTTGGAGAAAGACATCAACTCCCAGTGAACAATGCTAGAAATTTGCCACAAGCGGTGCCAATTTTTCCAAATAAAGAATTAAATCTCAGTGAAAGATTTGGGAGCCTGGCATCTAATGAAGAAACACTTGATGATAGCAGAGGGACAGAAAGAAACCCTGCTCCTCAGCTAATCCCATGTGATCAGAGTTTTACGTCAGACTTTCCTTCATCGGTGTCTGCTAATTCCACCGCAAATAATTCGGATTTGGGGAAAACACCTAATATACCATGGAAGAGTAAGGGTGAAACAACAGAAACTACAATTTCAAACGATCAAAGATTATCGATGAAAGTAAGCAATGTTGACAAGCTAGCTAAAACGGAGGCCCCATGGTCAAGTCATAGATACGCTAAAAGAAAGGATCCTAAAGAGGTCACTGAGAACACTTCAGATTCCTTGGATCTTCGGGTAGAAAGCTTAGATTGGGACTCCTTGCTTGGAAAAAAAGATTGAGTTGTAATCTTTTTCATTAAAAAATGGAATATCTTTAATTCAATTAAATTACTGAACCATCGAACTTAGTTTTTTTCAATAGAATTAATTAGGCCTAAATTCATAAAAAAATATACACTCACGTTCCCAGAAATACAGATATATACAATTAATGAAATATGATAAGTTATTTTTTAATTAACATAATAACTAAAGTTGATTCTTCATCAAATTATGAATTTTTGGAAGGTCTTAAGTTTGAATCTAGGTGAAAGTTGCGGGTCCTTCGGATGAGATCTTAAAAACTGAGGCCATGTGTTACGGTAGACGTTGACACGATAAAGAACCCTCCATACATGCTGCTCAATGGCAGTAAGTCCCGGGTAAATGTCGAACTTTGAAGCTCTTCACTAGTATATGTAGTGATGGTATCATATGGTCACGTGTAAAAAAAAAATGAAAATAATGTAACCGAACACTGAAACAGTTATCCTTGATAAAGTATGAGACATAATTTTCTATGATAAATAACTAAAAGTATGAGACTTCCTTTGATCTTTTAAAGAACTTTAATGTGCAGATCAAACTACAACTTTCCTTCCAATTCTCAACGACTTAAGCCCCTTTGGACGGTAAGAATATTAAATGTTATGTTGTCAGAATCTATATGCAGAATTTGTGAAGAAGCGACAAAGTATGAAGTCAGATCTATAAAAAGGACTAAATCTGGATAGAACATTTGTATTGTCAGCGTTATAAAAGATAAATAAAGATGTTAATGAACCGTTCATTAAGATCCTATTGAATATATGAAATGAGTGTCTTAAGTACTTAGCCAGTGACAATGTGTTGATTCAACGGTTTGGGAATGTTCTATTGTATAATGTTATTTTACATTTTGAAAAAAAAAATCAATGACAAGAAAAGAGAATGTCAAAAGAAATCAAGTTTACATATTTTTATACAAATTAGATGAACAATCTCATATTGGCACTTTCCTCTAGCAAAACTTGTTTTAAAAATACCAAAATACTGTACAAAATCTTCAAACTAGATTAACTGATCGTGGTTTTGTAGCAAATCTGTCAAGTATGTAGATTTGAAACCATTTACCAATCTCAAATGGTATTTTTAATTCCCATTTCTTGATAAACAACATTCCTGGAATAAGAGACAAATTCTCAACAAATAGTCAAAGATTTTTTCAAAAGAAATTCTACAATTCTTTCCCTAAATTGGAAATTTAGATATTGTATTTTAAAGCTTAAGAAATTGAAAATTTCCAGTTATGATGCATTAATTAAATCTGTGCAATGAAATCTATCTGCCCTCAAATCGAATATTACACCACTAGGGTCAGGGAATAAATTCTTCAGTAGTGTTATTTGTATCTTTTTTTGTTTGTTGTTGTTGTTTGTTGGTTTGTTTTGTTTGTTGGTTGGTTTGTTTTTTGGTTTTGGCTTTTTTTTTTTTTTTTTTTTTTGGGGGGGGGGGGGGTGCCTTAATTTTTTTCCTTTGAAGTACTCGATTCAAATACACAAATATGGCATACGAAACCTATCAGACATGATTGTTAGAATTTTCTTACATATTCTTTGTTAGAATGATCCATGGATGGTTATCGTTTATACCAATTAAGCTATTCTGACTATAGGAATAAAATATATGAATGTTAACCAGATTGTCGAAATCAAATGTCACTAGTGCTAATTGTAACGGGAACCGTTACAGATGTTCCCCAAACGCTCCCCAACTCCCTTTCGGTGCCATGTTCCCTGTAAGCTACATTAAATAAGACAAACTCTGTGCATTTTTGACTTTTACAACGCTTTTCCAGAAGGATACCAATTATATTCAATTTTTAGCATTGCACCCAAGCGCATGTGAATGCATGTGCGTTATGACCATATCATCTTGTCTACACTATTTATATATTTCAATATACTATATATTAAAGCATTCAGTCCAAAAGTAATAAAAATCACTCATTCAAGAGTATTTTTAAATATACTCGTTTCAAATGCACTCACGTGCGTGCACGTGCATGATGATCATACCTTCTTGTAGGAGTCCCTTACATCTATCTATGTTCTAAATCCCATCCTGTTTGGTTGAAAAACAAGGGAGTTATAGCCATTTAAAGTTTCAGCTAATCAGATTGCAGCACACGTGCATGCATGTAATTTAATGATTTTTTAATATCATTTCGTAGGATATCCTAATGCATGACTATATTTTAAATTTCAAAAAATTTCGTCAAAAAACAAAGGAGAAATAGCAATTTAAAGTTTCAGCCAATCAGATTGCAGCACACGTGCATGCGCGTGATTTCATGATTTTTTTTTCTATATCATTTCGTAGGATATCCTAATGCATGACTATATTTTAAATTTCAAAGAATTTCGTCAAAAAACAAAGGAGAAATAGCAATTTAAAGTTTCAGCCAATCAGATTGCAGCACACGTGCATGCGCGTGATTTCATGATTTTTTTTCTATATCATTTTGTAGGATATCCTAATGCATGACTTTATTTTAAATTTCAAAGAATTTCGTCAAAAAACAAAGGAGATATTGCCATTTAAAGTTTCAGCCAATCAGCTTGCAGCACGCGCACATGCGCATGCTTTCATGAAAATTCTTATATATCATGCGGTAGATCTTCATAATGTAGGACTATGTTCAAAATTTCAAAGGATTATGACAAGAAACAAGAAAGTTATTGAGACTTTAGTTTCAGCCAATCAGAGCGAAGCGCACGTGCATGCGCGTGAGATCTTGCTATTTTGACCATGCTATCTTGTTTATACTACTAATGTATCCTTACATTATGAGTTTCAAAAAATTTCATCAAAAAAATGAAAAGTTACGGCAATATCCATTATATTGGTAATTTTACCTATTGCACGTGCACGCTCTTGCAAGCACGTGCGCGCAAAATGACCTTTGTTTGGCAACTCTACATAACATGCCTACTAACCCTAAAAAGGTTTCACCTAAGTCGGATGTGTAGTTTACAAGATCACTCGTGGACAAAATTTTCCCAGGAAGAAGAAAAATAATAATAATAATAAGAAACAGAGTAAAAACAATATGTTCCCCAACTTCGTTTGGGGAACATAATTATTATTACTATTTGGGTAAGTTTTTGTGAATTTTGTCCCTAGGGAAGAAGTGTCTCTAAAAATCCCTTAAAATTAATAATTACATTCTGACCAAATTACGAGGGACGTTCAATAAATAATGTCATCGGTGCTCGCAAAGAAACAAGAAAACGTTTTTCTATGATTTAGTCTTAATGATTAAACTGAAATATTCTCTTTAAATTAAAGAAACATGTCCGTAATATTTTTATTAAATTTTTAATTGTTTTTAGAACACATTTTTGAGTATGACCCTTCGTATACTGGAATATGGCAGATTCTATGACTTCCTGTACATTTTTTTCTTTCTGTTTTTTAGGTGTTTTTTTTTCAAGTTTGGGAAATGAAACAAGTCAAAGGTTGAAAGTTCTGGCCAATATAATTGGTGTGACAAAAAATTAACTTTCTTTTTACCCAGAGAACTTCTTTACTCTTCATGGCCTATGGGTTTGGACGCTGTCAAAAGAAATTAAGTGTAATAAATTCCTCATTCCGGCTCCTTCCTCTCAAAAACCTTTCATTTTTTGCAAAATATTTGCTTTCTAGACTCTTCTAGAAATTGAAATTACTCCCCCAATGAGAATTTCAACAAGACCACTAATATTTAAGAAAATAGCATATAAAACTGTTTTGTGCTCTTGCAATTCTTTGCTCTTTTCAGGCCTTTGCTGTTTTGTCAAGTGTATCTCAGTGCAAGTTTGTTTTGAGGGTTTAAAGGTAAATGGATTCAAGTTTCATGATCTGTTTGAATTTCAGACAAATATGAATAAGTACATTTTTTTTTCTTTTAAAATAATTATTTAGATATTCCTACACGCTGTCGTTTTCACTCATTTTTCAAAATATCGGGTGACCTTTGAGTATTAAACTTTTTTACTATCAAACATTTCTATAAAACAGTTTGAACTACCCCCAAGGGCTCGCCAAGGACAGTACCCATTTTTGATGCCCATTATATCATTTTTGTTCATTATCCACCTGCTCATGTGTGTATAAAACAGACATTTGTTGCTGTAAATTTCACATATTTCAGTAGTCAAATAAACTGTAATCAACTCATTAAAGATTCAAAAATTAGAGAAAGTCAAGCTTAAATGGATATGACTTCTATATCATCGAGCTGATGACATTATTTATTGAGCGTCCCTCGTATAACAATTTTTTAGGGGCAGGCCAGCTCTGAAGGAATTTTAGGCCTAAATTTAGGCAAAAATCTGCGTTTAAAAAGACAACATGCTGCTCTGGCCAATGTTGGGGGGGTATTCTAAAGTTGTAAATTATATTGTTTTGTGTGTGTAAAATGCCAATTCGACAAATTCAGATATGCATAAATACGGTACAAAACAACCAATAAACATTGGATTTTATATGTCACTTTTCCAGGAAATTATTCTTTCGTATATATCAATCAGTTTGAAATTGTTAAGACATTCTTTAATTTCATTCTTTTCATTCTCTCTGATACATAAAATAAGGAAATAATAAACTTACCCTTAACACTGACTAGTATTTAGACTTTTCTTGTCCAAATTAGAGTTTAAAACATTTAACATTTTCTTCAGTAAGGTTTACGCATTATATTTCTGCGTAAAATTTCCTGTATATTTTCGTGGAAACATACACAGTTGGACAAGCAATATCCGGCACTCCTTAAGGAAAATGGAAAATGTTTCATATACATTGTACATGTACTAGTGCAAATGACTTGTCTTTTAAATTTAACTTTCAAGTCAGCATTTATTTTTTATAGTATTTTTTTTTCAAATTTTCATCAAACACACAGTCAAACGATTTGTCCAAAATTGTTCCTATTTATGGCATGTTAAATTCACAGAAATGGATATTAAAAACAAAATTATTTTAAAAGTAGATCTTTAGTGTTGTGATTTATAAATTATAATATATGTATCCTTTTTTAGCTCAATTGAGCCGAAGGCTCAAGTG